GGCATGCGTCAAGCAAATGAGCGCGTTTTCTAGTACCAAGGTTGGTGAGCTACGGGATAATAAGGAAGAGACAGGTTGGATCAACAGGGCGAGGCATCTCCTTGTGGTGGGAGGAACATGGGTGCATGTCACAATCTTACAGGTGGATGCAGGAAGTAGCATCAACAGGGCTGGTACTAGCTACCGAAAAGATCTGGGGTTAGGGCCCACAGATCTTGTCAGAAAAGAAAAAAAATGCAAAGTTGCATATGCTAATTTGTATGGGTTGTGAAGTTTCTCTGGGTACAAGCGTGCATTGAAAGTGCCCTATCTTGTAAGGGCACACATAAAAAGGGATGTATGAACAAGGAAGAGAAAGGCATTTGATTCCAAGAGTGGGGGAAAATACCTCAGGCAGAAAGAGCAGCAGCAGGATGTGTAGCAAATGCTGGTGAAAAGTGCGCTGTGTCACAGAAATGCAGGTGCAGCCAAGATCAGGACACTTGCTTGTTTCTTTCTGAGAGGAAGCAATTGCTAGTCTTATGGAGTGTGGGCAAGAACTGGGCTGGTGGAATAGACCGTCCAGCCATTGCAAATAGGGCTCCAGTGCCACTTGGAATTCCTCTCTGTGTCCGGGAAATCCAGAATAGATTATACCAAATAGCACGAAAGCAAAAATGGCCAAGTGCATTATGCAAAATAAATGGCTGTGCAGATTTGTCCACTTTGCATAAGTTATGCAGTTTGCAGAGTGTGTGTGTGTGTGTGTGTGTGTGTGTGTGTGTGTTCCTTTTCTGTGAGAAGTACATGCAATGTGAGAAGCTTTGTTTTTCAAACAAATAATGCTTGTGAAGTATCAGTGCATGAGTCTGACGACATTTATGAGGAAATTTTACTCCTGCCTCTGCAGTGTGAACCATCATCATCACCTTGAACAATACGCTCAATTCATCTTGCGGCCACCTTATCGAATGTCTCCAGCATCCCATTTTGTGGCATCCTGCTTTTGGTATTGGCGCTGGGGATGTGGAACCTGATTGACTGCATCTCGAGGTGTGGAGTGCTTGCCTGATCAGACACCCAGGTTGATCCCTTCATCTCGCAAGTTATTTTTGCCAGGGGACCATCAATCCCTTTTCTCTCTGACAGCAGTGATCCCTTTCTCAGTGCATCATTAAGCATCTCCAGGAAGGAGACAGGACTGACACTGATTAATTTCCCTTGTTGCCTCTGGAAGTCTGAAACAGACAAGTCCCCAGGAAGGCAGATGGCTGGGATTGTGTGCATCAAGTCTCTGGTTTCATGTGATGCCGAGTGGCTGCAGTGGATTTGCCCAGGGCTTGGATCAAGGGGAAGCATGGCCAGGCAGCTAACACACCCCACATTCCAGCAGGGGCTCACCGGTAAGAGATCCCTGTAGCTGCTCCTCCTCTTCACCATTGCAAGCCGTTCGTTCATTTGCCTCCTGACAAAGCACAGGCCATGGTGGTGGTGAAAAGGAAGAGCGGGAGATGCTACAGCCGACTTGCTCACCGTCGCTCTGCCTGTCAAGATGGATGCGGGAGCAATGATGAAGAGGATGGAGGGAGGAGGAGCAACAGCAACTGGTGGCACTCAGGGTGAAAAGGGAGACTGACTGAGGGATGAGGCCACTGAGGGTGTCTTCTCCAACGGCCTTCAGAAACATTGAGGGGGCTTGGGTTTACTTACTATTTACGAGTAATTGGGAAAGCTTGTGAACTGGGAAAACTTGGCTTTATGAGTGGTTTTCAGAAGGAAAAAGGTATAAGGAACAGTTTGTCTGCAACCTGGTAAAGTCCTTCCTGGACTGTGCCACTTTGGGTAGGAAGCTTGCATGGCTGAACGCTGCTCTACAAAGTAAGGCTCCTGGCACACAGAAAAGGAGCAACGGGCCTGCCCACCCTAACGCTGGGCTGAGAAACTGGGGAGCAGGGAGAGAGTTTCACCACGCTTCTTCATGGAGAGGGGCTCATGTATAGGACTCAACACTGGCAGGTGTCGTCGCACAGCTATTTTCTCCTTCTAAAGGTTGTTGGGGGTTTGCGCTGCCCGTCCACGCAGCAACAGCAGGAACTGTGTTGGCAGGCTGGCCTTCATTTTGCCTGCACTGTAATGCAGGTGTGAGGGAAGCAGCATTATTTCCAGCTCCCGGGAGGCGATGGAGCTGGTGGTGTGCCTAAGTCTGTCTTCTTGAGAGTTTCTTTCCCTCATGGAAAGGGCTTCCACTGTTCTGCCTCATTCTCAGGGTGTTTAACTATAGTGATAGTGAGTGTAAGGCAACTGACGATGCCGTGTGAGTGTGCGTTTTCTTTCAACTATGCATCTCTCCATTGCTCTGCAGCTTTCCCGGCTGTCTATACTTCTTGATCTGAAAAAGCCCCATGGGAGGATCTGAAGTGTGGGGAGTTATGGAGGGTGCGGACTATTGCAGAGAAGATGGTACAATGGAAATCAGGCTGGTTGCACACATTCCTCTAAGGGAAGTGCAAGAAACCCAAACCTCCAACCATGAGGCTTCCTCTGACATTCTCTGCACTGTTAGATTAGTGTTTGAAAGCAAGTTGTTTTCTATAGGATTGAATGAGACTCATCAAAAATGTGAGAGAAAGTTTCAGCTTAGCTCTGAGAAGAAAATGCTATGGAAAAGGTTAGACTGAATGCTTCCCAAGGCCACAATAGTGGACTACAAATTTGTACAAATCGCATAACTCCCAGCTAGCATGACTGTTGGGGCTGCCTTTGAGGACTATGCTGAAACTAAAACTGGTGTGCCAGTGTGGTATGGTGGTTAAAGTGTTGGACTGGGGTCCTGGGAGTGGTGAGTTCTAGTCCCCGTCCATCCATGAAACTCACCAGATGTCTTTGGGATTGTCACTTACTGTCAACCTAATCTACTTCACAGGATTATTGTTGGGCTGGGTAGCTGGGTCTGGGTCAAAAATGATCTTTCATAATGGCTCAGTCTTCTCCCAAAAGAGGGTCTATGGCCTTCTCAATCAAGAGAAGTACAAGCTGAAGGAGCAAGATTGTAGCTCAAGGTTGATAGTTAAATGGTCAAGGATTATCTAATTGGGTTGAATGAGTTCAAATCTCCATCCTAGGGTCATAAAGGAGCTGACAGAAGAAGTGGCAATACCTCCCTGTTATCTTTGAGAACTCATGGAAGACGGGGAAGTGCCAGATGACTTGAGAAGGGCAAATGTTGTCCCTGTCGTCAAGAAAGGAAAGGAAGCACCTGGGAACTACAGACCAGTCAGTCTGACATCAATCCCTAGAAATCTGGAGCAGATTATAAAGTAGTCGATCTCCAAACATCTTAAAAACAACGCAGTGATTAATAGAAACCAACATGGATTTCTCAGCAACAAATACTGCCAGACCAAGCTGATTTCATTTTCTGATTGAGTAACCTCCCTGATAGACTGTTGGGATGCTGTGGGCATAATCTGTCTTGACTTTAGCAAAGACTTTGATGAAGTGGCCCATGATATCCTGTTTAGCACACTAGCTAAAAGTGGGCTGGATGGAACAACAATCAGGTGGATCTACAGTTGGCTACAGGATCAGACTCAGCGTGCTCATCAATGACTGCGTCCCAAACTTGGGAAAGGTAACAACCACAGGCTTTAGTCCTGCACCCAGTGCTCTTCAACGTTTTCTTTAATGACTTGGATGAAGAAGCGCAGGGAGCAATGATCAAATCTGCAGTTGACACAAAACTGGGTGGGACAGCTATTACCCTGGAAGAAAGAAAGAAGATCCAAGATGGTAGGTTGGAGTGCTGGGCTGAAAACAACAGAATGTTGTTGTTTCAGTAGGGAGAAAACCCAAGTTCTGCACCTCGGAAAAAGAAACCAAATGCATCGTTACAAGATGGGAATACTTGGCTCAACTGTACTGCAAGTGAGAAGGATCTTGGAATTGTTGTAGATCCCAAGCTGAATAGGAGTCAACAATGTGATGTGGCTGCACAAAGGGCAAATGCTCTTTTAGGCTGGATTAATAAAAGTATCACTTCCCATGATACTAGTTTCTCTTTCCTCAGCACTGGTTAGGCTTCATCTGGAGTACTGTGTCCAGTTCTGGGCACCGCAGTTTAAGAATGATGAAGACAGCTGGAAAGGGTGCAAAGGAGGGCAGCAAGAATGATTGGGGGACTGGAAACAAAAACCTATGAGGGGAGATGGAAAGAACTGGGCATGTTTAGCCTCAGGAAGAGAAGATCGAGGGGAGATATGGTAGCACTCTTCAAGTACTTGAAAGGTTGCCATAAAAAGGAAGGACAGAATCTCTTCTGGATCATCCCAGAGTACAGAATATGGAATAATGGACTCAAGTTACAAGGAGGCAGGTTCCAGCTGAACATCAAAAAGAACTTCCTACTGTTAGAGCAGCATGACAATGGAACCAATGACCTAGGGAGGTCTGGGGCTCTCCCATCCTAGAGGCATTCAAGAGGCAGCTGAACAGCCATCTGAGAGGGATGGTTTAACTTGGAATCCTGCACTGAACAGGGGACTGGACCCATTGGCCCTCTGGCCCCTTCCAACCCTATTGTTCTATGATTATTGTGGGTTTTAAGTTCCTGGACTGAACTGCCTGATGCTGCTTAGAGAACTGACTGTGGGGAAAATGTTTCCCAACTGTGGCAGGTCTTGCACCTGCCTGCAAAACCTGTGTGCTGACCACCTAACCCATCAGTATGATTAGAAAGCAGGATATAAATATTTAAAATAAACAAGAATGAATCAAATGGCAGGACTGCAATTCCCAGGTGATTTCAAAATTTGGATCCTATGTCAGGCAGCATTTCCCTGACACAAGAGGTTCTGCAATCTTGTGACTCTGCAGTGGAGCCAAATAGCAAACTGCTTTCAAGCAAATAAAAATAGCGCTTGTTCAAGCAAACTCCAAGGTCTGCAGAACATCGTATGCGAGATCTGTGGGGAGGTTGCTCTTTCCCATTATTTCTTGCAAAACTGTTTCCCATTCCCCGTTACCGAAGAGTGAGTAGAGGGTTCCAAAAATCAGGTCTTCTCCTTCAGATAAGGTTGACAGGAACGCTGAGGAATTGGAGGCATTTTCCATCTGGGAAAAAATAAAGACACAACAAAACAGAACAGGAAGCAAGTCAGGATAAATTGTGGTTAGTCACAGAGCATTTAGTAAGCCTCTCCCCTTGAGAATGGAGTTGTTGCTGGAAAAGATGGCATGATTTTGGCCAGGCGCCTTTTTTGCAGCCTGAAGCTAAAGCCAAGTCAACTACTGGAGCTGTGAGCTCATTGCTGTGGAGAAAGGAGCTGATAGCTCATATAGATAGTGGCACTTAGAACCAGGTTGGGCAGTGGGTTGATAATAGTCTGCCAAACTCTTGGTAATCCCACTTGATTACAGTCTTGTGCATTTAATTACAGATTATGCCAATTAGCTGCAGGCTTATACTTTATTTTTCTTTAAAAAAAGGTGTTGTCTTAGGTACTTTACAGCCAGGGAAGATCATTTAGCAGACCTCAGCTTGGGATTGCTCCATCCCCAAGGCTACTTGCAATGAGCTCTACCAGCTTAATCCAAACAGGAAAAGCCACGGGCAACATTTTCAATTTCAGTCAGATTCCAGTGTGTATAAGGACCAGATTAAAAGATGTATCAAAGCAATTTGGCAAACAATGTCATGCAAAACGGTAAGAGATGCCTTACCAGAAGTCCAACATTCTGTTCCTATGCTGAGCAACTGCTGAGGATTTATTAAAAAAAAACACCCTAAAAGCTGGGCTATAAATATATTAAATAATAATATTAGCAGTCATCAGATGTCTATGGAAAGCACACAAGACCATAACAGCACCTTCCCAGTTGGGCTCCCCAGTTACTGGTTCTGAGAAGGAAACTATCTCTAATGGGGGAGCTCATCCATAATCATTGGACAAGCAGCAATCAATAGCCTTGTCTTCTCTAAATTGCCCAATCATCTTTTACTGGAACCCAGGTTGGTGGCCCTCATTACACCCTGAGGTAGAAAATTCCATAGTTTAACTATGTGCTGTGTGAGGAAGCATTTCCATTCATCTGTCCTAAAGACCTCACCATTCAACTTACCTGCGCAACACTTTCTTCACAGCATGCATAATTTTATATGCTTCAGTCATTCCCCTGCTTAATCTCCTTTCATCGAAGCTAAAAAGTCACTAAAGTTGCATCACAAGGATGCTGCTCCAACCGTTTCACCCTTTATTTTACCGCATCTACCCCAGCTCCACACCACCCTGTGTAGGTAAGCCTATTTTGGCCACACCATTGATTTGTACGACAATATTAGCAGTTCTTTTTTGATCCTTTCCTCCCGAAAGTGTGAATTTGGTGAGTCCACATTGAAATCAAACCCAAATGAACCTTTGAATCAATTCCCAGTTTCAACCAGCTGTCTAAAAGCCTGCTATAAAGACCAGTAAGGATGCTTCAGCTATTGAAAGGTATGGACATGTAATACCTAAAAACGGATAAAATAATGAAATGAAATGAAAAGAGGGTAGCCAAGAAATGAGGATAAAACTATTCCAAATTAAGCCATTCAACAAACTGGAAGAGGAAGGAAAAGTGATTACTGCATTCTAGCCCCAGTGTGTAGGTTTTCCTGAGACATCTGGCTGACCACTGTTGCAAAGAGGATGCAGAAGTAGATGAGCTTCCATCCTTCTTTCGTTCTTAAGCCCAACTGAGCACAGTTGGAGGCCCTTCTGGGTAAACATGCCTGAAGCTTTAATTGTATGGGGAAAAGCCAGCTTCCCCAGTAGAACTTTGGTTTTGTACAACAAGATAGTTCTTGGCTCAATAAGTTTCACAGCTGTGTGGAAGAAGCACATAATGACTGTTTTACTGTAAAAGGTAATCTGAGGCTCCAGAGAACCAGCAGGAACTATTTTGCTTCCTCCAGCACTGAGCAAACAGGTTACTTGAAAGGCTTTGTGCCGGTTTCCTTTCATTAAGCTGAAAATGTGAACAAATATTTTGTTGGCATGCTAGAACTGGGTCTAAAGAAGCTTTGCTCCATGTCCAAATCCAACAAGACAGCAAAGTTAATCTTTGGATTGCACCCACACACATCCTCTGACATTACGAAACAATGCAATTTTTTTAAAGGACAGTATCCTTAAGTGAAAGGAAATTACCTAATGTTGGTTGACATCACTGAAATATAGGAATCAGTTTTATACCAGATCAGACCATCGGATGAACCTAGTATTCTTGATACTGCCTGGCAGGTTTCTGGTAAGTTTCAGGTAAGGTTCTTTTTTAGCCCTCCATGGGGATGTGGGGCATCTGCATTGGGCCCTTCTGTGTGTGAACCATTCATTCATTCATTCATTCATTCATTCATTCATTCATTCATTCAAAACATTTCTATGCCATCCTTTGCATAGCCTCAGGATGGCTCACAACATGTGCTCTATCACTGAGCTACAACCCCTTCCCATAAAGCACAGTGCTGGGATCTGGATGGTACTGACTTACAACTCTTCATACACCCCCTCCAGGTAACTGCCTCCTACACTTTTGGAAAAGAGGCATCACTCACTGGTAGAGCACAGACCTTGTATACAGAAGGTCTCAAGCTCAGGGTTTGGCCTCTCCTGCCAAGAGGATATTGCAGAATGGGTCTGTCTGTGGCTCTGGTGGTCCACTGTACATCAGACTAGACAATACTGGAATAGATGGAGCAATGGATGGTCTCACTATAAGGTAACTTTATCAGCATGGCAACTTAAGCCTCTTCATCCAAAAGGAGGGGGAAAGAGGGCATGGAAAGAGAAATCAATACGTCTCACCGTAGTGGGGAAGACTATGACCAATGACCAGTGCACCTGCTCAGTCTGGTGCCCAGGCACTGATGGTTGATGGGCTCCTAAGGTCCTTGGATCTTTCTTATGATTCTTCAGCTTTAAAAGAGTACAGAATGCCCTTCAAAAAGAGAATGCCTTCCAAGAAAGCACCATCCTCTGTAAAGGAGGGTGGATGGATATTTTAGTTTTCATAAGTGTATCTCCAAAATGAAGAAGCTTAAGTGATGTTGGGCCTAAGGCTTCAGCTCCACACATACTCTGCTAATTAGCTAGATGGATTTGGTAAGCAATCAAGTATTCTTTTAAAATTCAAAGGATTTCATTTTGTAGCCAAAAGGGGGGAAAACAGTATTGCAGAATGACAGTCAGTGCAGCAGTTCAGATGTATTCTAGTTGTCATGATCATTCTGTGAATCTTCCATGGTTAGTGGGCACAATCTAACCAGTGTTAATCCCTTGTTAAGTATCATTGATTGCAGTGGGAAAGTAAAGATGTTTAAATTCCTCCCATTGAAATCAATTGGACTTAAAGGCAGGATATGCATTCTAAAGTCAATAAAAACTCTTCCTATATAATAGCAAAGATATGTATGGGGATATTAATCTATATAGCAATGCAGTGCAAGGGCAAAGCATCCTAGAAAGTGAATGGAAGTGTAAAAGTTTCTCAGTTTTGTTTTGCCTTCTGAACAGCCTGCAACAAAACAGCTCTTGTGATGCTAAATGTTCGTGCAGCAATTGCTTTGTGTCATGGCATCCCTCTTGTCTTATGCTATCTAGACAAGCAATAAACCCAGTTCTGGGGTGGTTGTTACTAATTGTGCAAAACAGGAGTAAAGATTTTCTCAAGTGCCTGGAACTCCGTTTTTTGCGGGGGGGGGGGGGGGAATGCCCCAGTCCATTTTCTTCCTCAGGAGCTGTAACTTTAATTTCATTACACAACATAATTTGCATTTTACAATGCACCTTTAAAAATCTATAAACGTATATGGAGTATTATAACACCTTATATTCTTAACTGCATCCGGAAAGCATAGTATTTCTAAAATATTGTAACCATTGGAAGCATTGTAAAACTTTGGGCTATCTAATTAGTTAATTAGAGAAAAATCTTGCTGCTTCCTCTCTTATTCACTGTACACATTTTTGAAAACCTGTTTCCAATGGGTTGGATCACTTCCCTGTTGTATCCATGGAGTGGATGCCTCCTCTCTGCCCCCCTGAGGCTGCTGCCCCATGCACCCTCCAGTGGGGGCCACAGAAGGGAGGAGAAAGTGGGGAAGCCCCTCTCTGCCAGGAGCATCCATGTCATGGGTGCACTGAGGACATGGGTCCCTTCCAACTTCTGTAGTATCTCTCATATTTTGCATTCATAACAGTATACACAGACCATCTCAGGCACAGAGGACAGTCCTCCATCTGGAGGGAGGTCAAAGGAAAATCCTGTAACTGAAGATGTCCTTTATTTGATGGGCTGTCCAACTTAAAGAATGAGAAAAGGGGAGATTGGGGTCCATGGAGGCATGGACTGGGCAGCAGGCATACACACCACCTTGTCACAGTAATCTGTGGGTTCTACTGTACTTCAGTTTAACATAGAGTCGCTATATCCAAATCTGCATCCGTGTATACACATTTGTGTCTTCTGTCGCTCACCTTTCTGATGTCGTATTTCATCTTTTTCAGCCATGCATAAGTCACCAGCCTAAACGAATAAGGTGAGGACTTCCTAGTTCTCATTGACGTGGTAAAACTGTATCTGGGCTATATCATCTTAGACTCTAAGCAGGGCCCCAAAGGACAGAATGCTTCCTGGCATACAGAAAATGAGCATGTCAGCGAGAAATCAAAGCTGTTGGTCAGGTAGTTACCACCATCAATGTGAATGGCACTTTACAAAGTGCAAAGGGACAACCCTTTGCCCTTAAGGTCTTGTAATCATTCAAAGAAGGAAATCAACAGAGGGAGAAGGAAGAATGGTAAGAACATGTCTTATTCCCATGGCAAGCACTTAGTATGCGGGCTTGAGGATACCTTTTAAGAGTGGAATTTTTAAGTAAACAGAGTTGTTTGATACTTCTTATATAGATCAGAATACTGGTGTTCTTTGCTCCCCCCGCCCACCCTCTTTGAATTTTGTGATAACATTTCTCAGCTCAAAAACACACATGGAACTGTACATAAAAATGTGTATTTTAAAATTGTACTGAAATCTGTGCACAAAACATAAAAAATGGATCATGAAGTGAA